CAAATTAAGCCCTGGCTAACCCTGTCCATTCAGAAGTGAGAGCAGCACTGACAAAGACATGATGAGAGATTTAACCAGGGACATTTTTTGGCCTTCAGCTGAGGAATCCCATTCAGGATGCATCCCTGATTGAGACACAGAGTGACTTATGAGTTATATCAAGGATCGGTACACCAGCGCAGCACAGAACTATCAGCTTTATTCTTCATGAGCACTCAGCAGGCTTCAGCAGAACCTTGACCCTGTTCAGGAGCATCCAGCTCATTTTTCCATTTAGAAACACATCAGATCCAAGTTTGCAAATGCAGATGATGAAAACAAATCTGATAAAGACAGCAACATAAAATAAATGTGTATCACTATATAATGAAGGTCTCTCAGATTAAGATGTTTCTGAGCAAAACAAGAACCTAAAGGGACACTTTCTTTCACCTTTTAATTTCTCCAAACTCAAGCTGGTATCAGGAATACAAAATATGACTAAATATAGTACCATACCGAATACAATCCCACGGGTTTAGTTCTAAATTCTTCTCAGGATTGTTCATGTTGATCCTAACCTCACCTGTTCTTGGCATTAGCGTTCGGGCTAAAGCTGTTGTCTGTGACTTTTCTACATGTTTGCTTCAGATCTCTAGGAATATTTGGCAGATTCTATGTTACCTATGGGTTAAACACACAGTAGTTAACAAAATGGAGTTAAGAAGCACTACACAGAGTTTATTGTTTGCATCTTAAATGATGAAAGTATCCTTGTTATAATTCATAGGGAAAACAGAACAACAAACGCGATAGACAGTAGTGATGACAAATCAAAACGATTCATTGAAAGAGCTTTGTTTGCTCGTTCTGTCCTTCACTTATGTGGTTTTTATTTTGTTGCAAAACATTTTTATTTATGACCACATCTCATTTCTCTAAGAAGTGCTCAAGAGCATGTGAGGTTTCTGTACCAGATGCAAACAGTCTTTAGGAGGAAGGCAATAATGTTGGTCATAAGGATGTCAGATAGGTGGGGAGCTTATTAGAAGAATAGTTAACTCTTGAAGAAAAGGCAGGTGAGGGAGGCCAACAGAAGCCACAGTGATTCACAGACACAGGCAGAGCCGCTGATGTCCCAACCGGTCCCAGGTCCTGAGAGAAAGACAAACAGGAATGTCAGCTAGACTCCTACACCACCAACCAGCAGGATTTCCAACAGGATAAAGCCGGGCGCACACTGTGTGACTTTTTCACTTTTTTGAGCCGATTTTCCACTCGTGCGAGAATCCACGAGATCGGGGCGAGTTTTGCGCCGAGCGTCGTGTAGTGTAGTGTACAGGGGGTTACGAGAGGCGATTAACACCACGTGACCAGCTACCGATCAGCAATCGTGAGCTCGCACGGACTTCTGGCGTGTTTAATATTTCGCTCGTCCCTCGTGAGGGTATCGCACTGTTGAAGCGGCGCTGCGAGCAGCTGCGACCCAAAAAATATCAGAACCGCTCACGGCGCATGCGCAATCCTGCATCAACGCCGCTCGCCCGCTATTTCCCTAATAACACACGTTGTTCGTTTTTGTTTCTACACGTTTTTTTTACTCACAAAGATTGTCAAGAAAGCGTGTTTGTCGTGTTCATGTCAAATTAACCTGATCACAAAACACAGATTTACTTTCTTTATTTCGTTTTCCTCATCCAACCCTCATAAATCCCTGTGTGTCCTCCTGCAGCACTCCCGAAGGACAACAGGCAAAACAAGACAAAAAAGTCTGACGTGTTGTGTAAAAACTGCTATTTTTAGCGTATTGTTTAGGTCCGACGTGTTGCTACCAGACGTACAGTGTGAGCAGTCAGGTCGCATCCGAGAACTGGGTCGTGCAGTGTGAGCGCATGACTCGTGAGATCTGCCCTGTGAGGGTCGTACAGTTTGAGCTGAAGCTGAGTGCTACGAGTGAAAAAGTCGCACAGTGTATGCCCAGCTTAAGGGAGATCAACCACTTTAGTTTCTGTACATTTAAATAAACTGAGCCTTTAGCTAGCTTAGGGCTGACTCGACCCTGGGTGAGTAGATTGTAGAGCAAGCCTGTCACAATAACATATTGGCCATTAGAGTTTGCTAAAATTGAGGAAGGAGCAAAAGAGACTTCATTAAAATGGTAACACCCCTGGCTTTCCCTTCAAAGGTTGAATCAAAAAGCTGTCCAATCCATCCACACTTCGAACGGACATTGTCTGAGGTGTGTTTCTTCAAGGAAAGCAATGCCAGCACCCAAATTTTTCAGATTTGTAAGAGCCTTTTTTCTTTAAACTGGATGATTAAGGCCTTTACCATTCCAAGTAGCAATATCAAGATAAGAAGCCATCACCCATACATGTCACAATTGTGTTGCACAATTAGTGAAGGCTTGGACCCAAAATGTAGTACCTAAAACGACACAAAGTGAGATATTGAAAAAAATGTAAATCTTTATTTTAAGGAAGGTCAAGGCAAAAATCCAAAAGGCTCCAAAAAAGCAAAGTGGAGCCAACACAAAAATGTACTAGAAGTTCTAACTGAAGCACAAGAGGAAATGAACAACGTTGACTACAGCAACAATCACACACAGACAAAGAACCAACAAACACTGGAAGACAGAACAGGGTCTATATACACACAGGGGCTGGGTGATTAAGGGAACTGGGAACAGTTGAGACTTATAAACTGAGTGGGGCAGTATAGCAAAACAGAGGAGGAAACAAGAGAAGGAACAACAGGGACGGAGTGGAGGGACCAAACACAAAACAACCCACAAGAAAAGGCGATGGGGGGTGGGGTGGGTGGGGGGGGCCTTAACCAAAACCCATCAGGAGCCAAAGGTCTGAAAAGGGCAAGTCAAAAAACGGACTCAGGAGGCAGGACACATGTAAGCAGGAACCAACAGAGTCATCAGGGGCCGGCAACGGAGGCAAGAGGACCACAGGAACCAGGGGGACCAGGAGGCTCTGGGGAGCCTGCGATGAGGGACTAAGAGCAAGGGCTGAGAGAGTCTGGGTGGCTGTCAGCAAAGGCAAGGGAACCTTAGAGGCATGGGGCTCTTGGGAGACCAGCAAAGCCCTGGGGATCAACGCCTAGGACACAGGAGCTGAAAACGGTGGATTCTTGGAGGCCAGGGACAATGGAGAGGCAGCCTGCTGACCCCTGCAGGCCTTGGATGGAGGAGCAGCCTGGGCTGTCTCCCACGTTGCCTATGCCAAACTCTGGCAGGCTCCAAGCAGGAGGCAGCTGGAGACCAGGCAGGGCAGCCAGGGGCAGAGACTCTGAAGACCACCTCAGACTGGAACCCAAGCAGCGTAGACACAGAAGACACAGGAGGTGGGCACACCTCGAGCAGGAACCGCAGAGAAGGAGACAAAGGAGACTGGATCCCCTCAGGAGGCCTCAGAAACCAGTAGCTCAGCACATGAGTCCTCTGCAGACTGAACCCCAGTATATGGATCCACTGGAGAAGACTGGACCACTGGAGACAGAGTCTCTGGAGAAGACTGAAACACAGGAGAAGGCCGGACCTCGGGCATAGCCACAGGAGAAGGCCGGACCACCAAGACAGGTTGCAGGGCAGGGGACTCTGGGATAGGTCGAAAAACTCTGGTACCCTGGTGCTGCAGGGTGGAACCCCCAGAGGTAAGGAAGAGGCATCCAGTGGGGCTATGCTGGGCCAGCAGAGTCATCTTGGTGGAGGAGATGAAGGCGGTGCATGAACCTGTTCCCAATACTTTGAACCGACTCCCAAGTGACACACCACCAGCCGAGGCTGCCAATGAAGCAGGAATTGTCCCCACGTAGCTCAGCCCAACTGATCCAGCCACCCGGACTGGGCAGCTTGAACTGAGCTTCAGCAAACAGGAACCCTCTCAGCCCCTCATGACTGGACAGTGTTTTGTTTTGGGCTCTCCCCTATTGTCTTTTATTAACATGTCTATTAATGAGGGGGTGGTGCCCTCATTTTGCAAACAATCAATAGTGAGACCTGTTCTTAAGAAAACAGACTAAGATCTGGGAATCCTAGCCAATTATCATTCAATATCATTATTGACATATCTGGCCAACATCTTGGAAAGTACAGTGCATTCAGAAAGTATTCATAGCGCTTCACTTATTCCACTTTTTTGTTTATGTTACAGCCTCATTCCAAAATTAATTAAAATCATTTTGCCCATAAAATTCAACACTCAACACCCCATAATGATAATGTGAAAAAAGTGTCTTTGAAGTTGTTGCAAATTTATTAAAAATAAAAAAACTTGAGAAATCACATGAACATAAGTATTCACAGCCATTAATCAGTACTTTGTTGGTGCACCTTTGGCAGCAATTACAGCCTCTAGTCGTTTTGAATATGATGCTACCAGCTTGCCACACCTATCTTTGGGCAGTTTTGACCATTCCTCTTTGCAGCACCTCTCGAGCTCCATCAGGTTGGATGGAAAGTATCGGTGCACAGCCACTTTCAGATCTATCCAGAGATGTTCAATGGTTTCAGGTCTGGGCTCTGGCTGGGCCACTCAAGGACATTCACCGAGTTGTTCTGTAACCACTCCTTCGATATTTTGGCTGTGTGCTTAGGGTCGTTGTCCTGCTGAAAGGTGAACCGTCACCCCAGTCTGAGGTCAAAAGCGCTTTGGAGCAGGTTTTCATCCGGGATGTCTCTGTACATTGCTGCAGTTATCTTTCCCTCTATCCCGACTAGTCATCCAGTTCCTGCCACTGAAAAACATCCCCACAGCATAGGGCTGGGCGATATCTCGATATTTTAATATATATCAATATAATTCTAAACAAGATATAACACGGGACAGTATCTCTAATATCGATGTAGTAAAAATTTCCATTTAAATTACAATAAATGGGCCGCAACTCGCATGTTTTCTCCTCTCCCAGTGTCCCTAAACACAACCTGTCTGTTCCGCCTCCCCCGCTCTGTGCCCACAAGCCCTCCCCCTCCGTCACCACCACTCGAGTGCTGAGCTGCTAGCGACAATATGGAGATGGAGGGCGACGCAGAAGAGGAGTTGGTCAGTAAAAAAAAGAACAATGGCTCGATAATCTGGAAATGGTTCGGTTTTAAATTGTCAGATGACCAGCAGCAAAATGTTTTCTGTAAAGAATGTCGAAAACCTGTTGCAACAAAGGGTTCGAGCACAACAAACCTCTTCCACCACTTAAAACAGCGCCATAAAGTGGAGTATGAGGAGAGCGTCAAATTACGTGCTGTGACTCAGACCACAAAGTCTTCCCAACCTGTTGTCCCGAAACAAACCCTGTTGCGGGCTTCATTGAGCCACAGTGAGCCATACGAAAGAACAAGTAACAAGTGGCGTGAAATTACCAAAGCGGTGGCTTTCCATATCGCCAAAGACATGGCTCCCGTATCAACGGTGGAGCAGACCGGTTTTGTACAGCTGCTAAAAACCATGGACTCGAGATACCATTTGCCCAGTCGCAATTATTTCGCAAGAGAGGCACTACCCAAAATGTACACGGATGTCAGAGCCAGTCTTGCTGCCCGGCTTGCAAAAGTGTCTCACTACGCGCTCACCACCGACATGTGGTCCAGCAGGACCTGCGAACCTTACATGAGTGTAACTGTGCACTTCATAGAGGACTGGGAGCTGAAGAGTGCATGTCTTCAAACCAGCTACTTTCCGCAAGATCACACAGGAGAGCATATTGCCGAAGCCCTGCAGGAGACCCTCAAAAGCTGGAATCTCAACCCAACGGGACTAGTTGCTGTGACGACAGACAACGGGACTAATGTTGTCAAAGCGCTGCAGTTGACAAAGTGGCCAAGGATGCAGTGTTTTGGTCACAGACTTCATCTGGCCATTGGTGAGTACAATATAGAATTAATGAATTGAAATAGGAATATATATGACAGTGAAAATGCTCAGAGAGAGAGAGAGAAAGAGTCATTGTGTTTTGTATTATTTATGTCACTTTGAATAATATCTAATAAATTCCATTGGAATTTATTAACTGTACGCAATCATGAACAAATAATTCATAATAATAACTAGCATAAGAAAATGCCACAAGAACATATTAAGAACAGGAAAACTTGATTTTTATCAGAGTGTGTCTTTAACTGAGATTGTGTTTAAGATGTGCTTCCCAACTAAACTTTGGCCAGACGGACCTAATTAAATAATTAGTGATTTTAAAATGTGGATTTCAATGTTGTGTGTTTATATAGGACACAGTTTGGATGATGCCCAGGCAACAAGAGCCATTTCTGTCTGTAAGAGAGTTGTCAGCTGCTTCTCGTACAGCTGGAAGAAGAGAAAAGCCCTGGCTGATGTGCAAATACAGCTGGGTCTACCAGGTCACCAGCTAATCACCGAGTCAGCCACTCGCTGGGGATCAAGACTACAGATGATTGAGAGGGTCCTTGAGCAGGAAGGGGCACTTTCTAAAGTCTTGTCCTCTGACGAGAAAACCAGACCACTTGTTCCCACCTGGCAGGACATTGAGGTCCTGGAGGCAATAAAGGCTCTGAAACCCCTTCAAGACTTCACTGACGCTCTCTCAGGAGAAGAGTACGTCACCCTTTCATACATCAGGCCTGTGCTTTACCTGTTCACCAACAGTCTCCTGGCACATGAAGAGGGAGATACTGAGCTTTGCAAGTCCATCAAGTCCTGCATTGTGGACTACCTCATCAGCAAGTATGCTGATCCGTCCACCTGTGACCTGTTGGACATTGCTTCATTACTGGATCCCCGATTCAAGGCTACGTACATTTCAGGTGAATAACTTGATGCACTAAAGCATAAAGTCATCTCTGAGGTGGAGTCTTTGCCCAGTGACCCGGTCAGCTGTGTGCCTGAGCTGCCTGACCCAGCTGGGACTGAGCCTGCAGACCAAGGCCAGGCAGCAGTTGCAGTACTACCTGCATCTAAAAAGAAAAAATCTCTGGCGAGCTTCTTTGAGAACAACAAACCTACAACAAGCACTACACACACACAGGATACAGTGGAAACTGAGCTTTTGAGCTACTTGTTGTCAGTTTGTGTAGAAAAAGATACTGACCCTCTGAAATGGTGGCAGAAATATGAAAGTAACTTTCCTTCATTGAGCCGCCTGGCAAAAAGGTACCTTTGTGTGCCAGCCACCAGCTCACCTTCAGAAAGGGTGTTTAGTTGCAGTGGGAACATTGTAACTTGCCACAGGGCATCCCTAAAACCTGACAGTGTGGACAGGTTAGTTTTCCTGGCACAAAATCTGTAAATTGTACAGAAGTTGGTTTGTAACTTTTTGATTTCATATCATTTTGCTCTTATTATTTGAGATGTGCACAAGGTACGAATTGCCTAGCCTGTTTACATGTTCATCGAATTTTGCACAAAGACTGGCCTGGCTTGTTTACTTTTTTTTTTGTTGAGAAATTGACTAAAGGTTAAATTGACATGTTTATTTACAGAGCTGTTAATCTCTTTCAAAATTTCTCTTTATTGTTACTGTTAAAATGGTTACAGTTTTTTTTGTTGCTCAATTTATTGTTAACATTTTGACATCAATAAAGGAGTCCGAGTGAGCTTTGGCATGTGGCTTAAATTTATATCGGTTGGTTTTTAAAGGGTTTGCCTCTGAAAAAAAAATTAACCTAACAGGGACACAAAAGGTTTGGGGGAAGTCCCAATTACGTCACTAAAAAAGTATCGATATATATCGAGTATCGCCATTTAGCTAAAAAATATCGAGATATGACTTTTAGTCCATATCGCCCAGCCCTACCACAGCATGATGCTGCCACCACCATGCTTCACTGTAGGGATGGTATTGGCCAGGAGATGAGCGGTGCCTGATTTTCTCCAAACGTAGCACCTGGCATTCACTCCAAAGAGTTCAATTTTTGTCTCATTAGACCAGAGGATTTTGTTTCTCATGGTCTGAGAGTCCCTAAGGTGTCTTTTAGCAAACTACAGGCAGGCTGCCATGTGCCTTTTACTAAGGAGAGGCTTCTGTCTGGCCTCTCTACCATACAGGCCTGATTGGTGGATTGCTGCAGAGATGGTTGTCCTCCTCTCTCCACAGAGGACCGCTGGAGCTTTGACAAAGTGACCGTTGTGTTATTGGTCACCTCCCTGACCAAGGCCCTTCTCCCCTGTTCACTCAGCTTAGAAGGCCGGCCAGCTCTAGGAAGAGTCTTGGTGGTTCCAAATTTCTTTCACTTACGGATGATGGAGGCCACTGTGCTCATAGGAACCTTTAAAGCAGCAGAAATCTTTCTGTAACCTTCCCCAGCTTTGTGCCTAAAGACAATCCTGTCGTGGAGGTCTACACTCAATTCCTTTGTCTTCATGCTTGGTTTGTGCTTTGACATATACTTCTTCCATTGTTTGGCAGACTAGACACCTAGTCGGCGTATTGCTGCCACAGCAACCAGCAGTTAGAACTAAATGACGATCACACCCTCGTATACACACCAACCCGACATAAAAAAGCCAGCAGCGCGGCCACACACCATCCACCCTCCACCCTCAAAAAGGTCCGTAGACTAAATACCCCCACCCCCACAGAACCCCCAAAAAAAAAAACGGGTACTCCTCTCGACTGAATAATTGGGACAGCAAAACATGTTTTCCAGCATCCCACATCGGCACAGACCATCAGGGTGCTTCCCTACTAACAGGAGACCCCCCCGAATATAGCTATTGCCCAGCCTCAGCCTTGTCAAGACCATGGAGTCTTTCCTCCTGCTAGGAAGGGCAGCCCCAGGAACCCCCACCCGATGCTGCAGATCATAAAATGCCCTCCCAGGAACCCCAATGTCCCATGAGGCCTGCCACAGGTCAAACGCCACCCGACCAACTGCCGAGCGACATTCACGCGCTCCCAACCCCACCTCCACATCCACCTCACACCTCGACAGCACCCCCTTAGCCATAGTATCAGCCCTTTCATTACTCTCCACCCCCACATGAGCAGGAACCCACACAAAACAAACCTCACAACCCAAAGCAACCACCTTGTGCAGCATCATCCTGATCCTAATCAGCAAGTCAGGCCTAGACCTGGAATATCCCCCCACCAGCGCCTCAAGAGCAGCAGCAGAGTCAGAGCAAACTACAGATCTTGTTGGCCGATGTTCTGCCACCCACTGCAAGGCCCACAATATTGCAACCAACTCTGCTGCAAATACAGAACAACAGTCCGCTATGCGATGACCTAAACCAAACCCCAAAAGGACTCCCATCCCCACCACCACTCTACCACTCTCTGAGTTCTAGGAGCCGTCAGTATAGAGGTGCAAGTACAAACCCCACGCCACCCCCATGAAATCCACAAAAGCCCCCTCCTCCCTGCCACCCCGTCCCTGAGCCATAAAAGAAAAGTCCACTTCAGGGACCAGCAGTAGCCATGGCAAAACCTCAGGCCAAATGAAATGAGAGCGAACAGACCATTCGAGAAATCCCTGCCAAACCACCCATTTCCTCAGCCGTTCAGGAAAGCCGCCCAAGCCACCCATCCCCCATTTTCGAATTCCCAGTGACCGAATAACAACTCAGAACACAAGCTATCCGTACCCATACCCTTGACCCTCCACAGATAGCGTAGCCCCAGTTTAGTGTGACCAACGGCATCTCACCCATCTCAATGAGGAGAGCAGCCACAGGGGTAGACCAAAATGCCCCACTACACACCCGCAAGGCAGCTGCCTGCAGCACATCAAGCAGCTTCAGGGTAGCAGGTGCTGTCATTCTATACACAAAACACCCATAGTCCAAGAACGATCTAATCATGCCCCAATATACCTGCAGCAAGGTGTCCCTGGATGCCTCCCAATCAGTACCAGCCAGACAATGCAAGACATTCAGCAAACGACCACATCTGGCAACCAAATGGTGCACATGCTTCCCCCACATGTGCTTGTCATCCAATCACAGGCCTAAATATCTATAGGACGACACCCACTCCAGCAATTGTCCACCTAACAACAATCCCTCACAAGGCACAGTTCTCTTAAAACCAAAAATCATACATTTGGTCTTGGACGAGGACAACCGAAAGCCCCATCTCCTAGCCCAGGGTACCACACCATCCAACCCCTCCTGAACCTTGTGAAAAACAAAACGAACGCTTCCACCACATTTCCAAGCACCATCATCGGCAAACAGAGACCAGACAGTCCAGACCCCCAAACTGCATTAATCAAGGACAAGACCTCTACGAGGAAGAGATCACCCGTATGTTGGAACAGTGGATAGCCCAGACCATCCCTACCTGGACTAGTATCATGTCCAAAACGCATCGCAGCCCGCAGCTCATCCAATGAGAAAAAACAGCTCCAAGCCCTTCAGGCCTTCCCCATCCCCCCACAAATCACCAGCAAAACCACTCAGCAACCCTTGTCTAAGAACAAGGTCAGCAGATGTTCACCAAACTGTGAACCCTCCAGAAATGTACAACCAGCATATCAGCCTTCTCCTTATCCCCCACTGCAGACCTGCCCCCCCGCCAAGCAGAGGAAGTCCATGCCGTACCCCTGCCCCAGACATCCTGCGGACCATACCGTACAGTGACCGGACAGATGTACAGGGCCCCAGCCCGCTACAGAAGTCCCGCCAACCAGACCTCTTCGCTTCCTTCACAACCTGTCGAGCCACCACCCTCAACCTCTTGAACTTCACTGTGTTAGCCTCCACAGGGGGTCTCCTAAGCAACCTCTTGGCCCTACTCCTATACCGAATAGCGAAACTACAAGCCTCTGACCACCATGGTACCATAGACTGATTAACAGGGGCTTGCTTCCTGGGAATATGGACCTCCGCCACAGTCCGCACGCAAGCAGAAACAGCAGAATGCCAGTCATCGACGTTGTCACTCCTTCTCAGCCCACAGACGGCATCCTCCAAATCCCATTCATGCGAGGCCCAACAAGCCAATGTGTAGACCCCATTGTCTCTTTTCATGGTCCCACATCCACCTCTCCTTATCTCTATTGCTTCATTTATCCGTCTTTTGTATTTCTGTAGTTCGTTGTTTATGATCCTTGTGTTGTCCCAGTCCATTATATGGTTTTCTCTTGTGCAGTGATCTGTTATGGCTGACTTTTTTATTGTGCTTTCTGCGTCTTGTTTTGCTGCTCTTGTGTGTTTTCGACTTGTTTCTTTCTCACACTCATTTCTATGTTCTACTGTTTGTGTTTTGAGTTGGCGTCCGGTTTCTCCTATGTATGTTTTATTGCAGAGTTTTGCATGGGATTTCGTAAACAACTCCACATTTAAGTCCAGCTGGTATCTTGTCTTTTGGGTGTACTAGTCTGTTTCTAACTGTTGTGTATGGTTTTGTTGGTGTGTTTATGTTGTGTTTTTTCATTGTTGCTCTTATTTTTTCTGTTATGCCTTTTGATGTATGGTAGGGTTATCACTGGTTTTGGTTCTTGTCTTTCTGGACTTCTGGTTCTTTGCTTTGGTTGTTTTTTCTTTCTGTTGTTGTTTGTTGTTTTCCTTTGTTTATTGCCCATGTCGGGTAGCCGCTGTAGCGTCCAGCAATGGTCAGTTTAGGCACAGCCTGACCTTTCACCATCTATTCAACATCTGTTCAGAAAGGACACACAATATTGCATGTGTTCACTTTAATGAGCAGGTTTCGCACCCGCTGGGATTCAGACTCTGCTAGTCTGAATCATAAACAATAACTTTCTTTGTCAAGGTCTCCTCTGTCTGCCTCCAGAAGAAAGAAGATCCAGCTCGAATCAGTTGCTAAATTCAAGAATGATTTAAAAACTTCTTTTATGATTTATAATCTAG